GAAGATGGTCATCACGATCTCCGTCCGTACGTCCGGTCCCTTGCTCAAGAGTCCTAAATTTGGTCCTAAATAAAAGTTAAGCAAGCATATGCTCGGACTGACTTTTCCGTTCTAACGCACCCCAACCGAAAAAAGAGCATAGAATAACAATGGTCGATACAAATTAGCAAATTTCAAAGCAAAAGTATCACGCCAAACCAGCTTTTCAATAGATGAAAGCAAGGAGCATGCGGTATCTAAGGGCAGCACAGCATGAGAGCCGTGGTGCTACCGACAGTCATACGTGCAATGTCAGCATGCAAGACACCCATATATACACTCCTTTTTTATAGCTAGTTATTGTTATACCTGTATTTATAATCATGTTTAGATTCATGTATATATATATATAAGTATTTATAGATACGCATAAAATACGAAGGGATGACAACGACAATAGTTAGACCCATTAAAAAGAGTCGGCGCATTGTGGCACAACATGATACAACCTCCACTTCAAGCATCTCTAGTCAACAGAATAGAAAGCGACCATACCCAGATTTTAGTTATTTATAGGATCTATTAATATAAAAACTTATATTATTAATATAAATAAATTCGCAACGAAAAATAGTCATGAAATATATATAAATATATCAGATATTAATTTAAAAGAATCGAAATAAATTTCGAAAGAATGCCTCTAATAAAGAAATATTTAAAATATTTTTGAATTTTCCTAATATTCAATAATTATGCTATAATTGGGGTGGTGTCTAACTTAGCTCGATGATCTCTGCACGAGGATTGGAAATCCGCGGCTTAGAGTCTATATACAGGCTCGTTCGTTGTCTGCAACAACACTGTGTTGAACAGATCAGGCATTCAATTCACGTTCTGGCTCTTCGGCACTTGACATATACAGATAGAGAGACAAAGACAGGGACGGCGACAGAAACAGATAAAGAGAGTGCTAGGAGAGCCGTCAAGCCCTGAACCTCGCCCATGTAGGGGCCTAGCGTTAAGGTATAGGGTTTAGGGTTGTTTGTGTTCTTACGTGGCAGTTGTTTCATTTGTATTTAACTAAAGCAGCTTTAATATTCATCGTACCTCGCAGGTCCTGTTCCAGACGTCCTTCGTCTTGGCGGTGCAGTTCGTCTACCTCGCCGCTGGCGGCATCAATGTTTCGATTTCGGGCTCTCCCTTGCAAAAGCAGACCTATGTAGGAGTTTAGGAGTCTTGCTACTTCTGCCCTGAATTACCCATAAACCCGTTCAGCTCAACTCTCAAAACCCTAAAGATGAAGGGGAAATGGGTTTCGGCTGCAGTGAGAAGGCCCAAATCAACAGCGTAATGTGCGGCTGCTCGCGGTTACTCTACAATAGAACGGTATTCACACCACCCAGCCTAATCTTTCGGGTTCAGAGTCTAGGCTAATCCGTTTGCCCAAACCCTGTCCCCCCTATATGGACGTTCTGGATTAGCTAAATTTTACTGACTGAAAGACCTGTCGCACTCACAGGTATAGTTCGCAAATGAGTTTCATTCCCCCTGATCATCCACGTATGTAGACCCTAAGCAAAATGAATCCGAAATACCAAGGTTTTTAAACCCTAAGCCCTAAAGCTCCACCCGAAGATTTATTTTTTTATTCTTCTATTTTTTTTTCATATATTCATTCCTATGTTATTTAATTATAATAAGAAATTTATATTTTCCTTATTTATATTATTTGCCTCATATCAATAAAATAAACTCAGTTTAGAATATTTAAAAATTATATGAATTTATCGAATGAAATTTAAATCTTTTTAAAATATATCTCGATCAAATTTCAAGAATAATTTCTAAAATCGAAATCAAAAAAAAATGTAGATTTTATTGAAAAAAAATATATTAATTTATTATAGATATATATATCACGAATTTTCTTTATTTTTAAATTCCTAGAATTTCAAATATCAAAAAAATATAATAAAAATAATATAAATTCGACGAATTATTTATTCCAATTTCATTAAATAAAACAGAATCATATATACAAATATAAATATATATATATAATTTTTTTATCGCTTATTCTTTTTTCAACTATCAAATAGAAATCTTCTAAAATCTTATCGATTTTTGATATACCTCATATTTTAGTATTGCATTAAATATCCTTGAAAAATACGTCCTATTCAAGAAGAATTATAAATCGAATTTAAAGATAATCTCATACTCGAGACGCCGACCCCTAGCAGCCTAGCAATCTAGAGTCCGTTAAAATAAGAATCAAATTTTCTGGCTTTACTATTTCGCTTTCATGCTTTTTCTATTTCATCTCGAACGTCCCAGATAGATCGAATCGCATAGCCTAAGCTGGGAAAAGTATCTCTCCATAACAATGCTTGCATTCGCTTTTTCTAATTCTTCGGGCGTGGGCCGCGCTGGCGAATCTTGGGAATGGTAGCCGACTTAGCCGACTCCTTCCGTCCTGGCAAAGGTATTCAATGCCACAAAAGTTTGGAACAATTCCTATTTCTGGAAGGGTAGGCTGACACAACTCCCTGGTGGTCAAAATGGTGTAGGGTGCCTCCCATGCGCATCTTGTATGCACCTGTGGCTGCATGACAAGAGTTTGGAACAATTCGAGGTTTTAGGAGTTACCCTAAATGGTTGTGGTAGTGGCAGTAGTTGTAGTTGTAGCCGCAGCAGCAGCAGCAGCAGCAAAATCCAAAACTATAAACACTTAACCAAGCACGGCAAGCCCTAAGCCCGAAACCAACAACAACTGAACCCCTGGGCAGACAAAATAACCTTGGACCGCGTTGTGCTGGGATGCCAGGATTCGTGCGCACCGTGCTCGATGCGCTGACGACCCGGGGTTTCATTTGGCTACGATTCCAGGCCTTGTGATCTCGAAGCATCGCATACCCAGAGAGATTACTGGCCCACAAATTGCGAAATGCACATGAGATGATAGCAGGCTTGATCTTATGATTGAAAGTCTATTTCCCAACTTGGGGCATTGAGCTCTGTCAAGGGATCCTTTTGCAGTCTTGGAGGAGTGCTTTTGCAGACTCCCTGGACACAGCAGGAGCTCTTGCAACATACTATATTACTATACTCTGACTGTCTTAAGTTTTTTATAAAGCAATCTGTTGTTGTTTTTTGTTTTTCGAGGCATACGCTGACTGGGTTTTGGTACTCAAGTGCCCTTTACTTTGCATCTTCCTGGACGGTGCCGGTTTCCCCTGTTCTCGCTCGATGCCGGGCAAAGCGTTGCACCACCCGAGCCCCAGCTTGTACTGGAGTTCGGACGAGCTCCAGTAGCCGCAACACCGCCCATGGTCACCAGTCATTCAGCTAGCAGCTATTACACACGCGGACGGCGGAGGAATTATACTTTGCTGTGGGAAAGCATGTCTGGACTGCCTCCATGCTCGACCGCTTAAAACCACACCTACCTGATTGTGATACTACCGCTCGGTGACCTAGCAATCCTGACCCATTTAGAGACTGCAGACTTGGACCAGGCAAACGGTGATGAACCTAGCCTGGAGACCATAAGACTTCGCCCTCATGGTCAAACTCAAATCCATATGAACCACCAGGCTGCTCGGGCCAATGCCAGGTTCTACGACCTGGCCTTGTGCCGCCACGGCAGTGGAGGAGGGGATAATACTGCATGCGACTGCATGCGACCAATCAAACACAAAAATCCTCGGCCACATCCATCCTGGACACGAACCCGGTGGACGTCCTACGGCGGCAATCCCCACCAGCCCGTGGTTCCGAGTTGGAGAATGACCGGTGCCACCGGGATTCGACGGGGGGAGCCACCCCCCAAAGGCAGCTCTTCCCTGTACTCATCGGTGCGGCTAAGGTCCTTCGCTTCAGCAAAAGCCGTGTTTGTTGGGCCATGATGGGCCATGAACCGTGGGGGCGGGATGACTTGAAACGAAAACAGGAAAGTATGTGCTGCAACTTCGGTCCGCTCTTCAGAATTTCAAAGTCCGGCATCACACTCAAAGTTGGCAGCTGTTGCTCCGTCCGCTACTCCGTCTCCCTCTCGCGCGCCTTGTTTAAAGAACAGCAATGCTGTGGATTGGCAAAACGATGTGCATCTCCTGTCACGTGATCCCAGAACAGGGCAAGGTCTAAGGTAAGACACGTCCGCTCCATCAGCTTCCCATTCCCATCATTGGCTGCCTTCTGCAAATCATGAAGGCCTTTGCGCTGCTGCTCGCCTGCTAATTCCTCCTCCCTTGACTTTCAATGCTTTCTGACGCTTCATCTCTGGCCCAGCCTTCTGAGCAACGGCAGAGGACATCGTACTGTAGTCTGCATTTTAAGACAGAGCTACAAAAGCCTGTTCGAACAAAAATGCACGTACGGACGAAACATGACTGCAGGCTATTGATAATCTGAAAATGCTGGGGGATGGATAGGAGTATGTGGTCTTTTACGTGCTGGTAGCAGCCGTCGAAGATGACAGTGCCAGAATTGCTGGTAGCATGGCAGCTCCTAGAGCGAACATCTCAAGTCTTGAGCTGTTCAACACGAACAACCTTCCCACTTACTCCATGCACCCCAACAGAAGCTCAAAGCGTTCATATCAAAGCTTCTGCTTCTCTATACGAACACCATTTACCACTTGCGCTATGGAAACTCAATTATAGTTCAACGCGTACATCTCAAAGCAAAGCTTGCATCTCAAAGCTATTGCTTTCCAACACGAACAACCTTTCCCACTCGCGTCAGGCACCCCGACAAAAACTCAATTCGTAAATCTCAAAGCTTCTGCCTTTCAACACGAACAGCTTTTGCCACTTGCTTCATGCACCCCAGAGTTCCCTATAAGAAACACCCGTCTCCAATCGTCTTGTCCAAATCATTTATAATTCCTCATTTATGTGGAAGTGTCCCGAGCCACAGACAGTTATAAGCTATATCATATGCATGTCGATGTTGCCTTGTGTGACGTTGCACATGCTCGTGCAAAACTCAAGTCGAAAGTGGTAAACCCAGAGACTGGGGAAGGGGTCGGGGATGCTGGGTCTGGACGCTCCATTGTCGGCAGACGCAAAGCTCAAAGCAACTCATCCTCATTTGAGGGGCGCATGCTTCAAGGCTTCAGGTCGCACAGAGGCTTGCTGAGGGGCTCCAGCAGCTCCGGCCTTGGCGGTGCTTTCGAAACGTGGGGAACTTAAAAGGCTTAAGCACAGGTCACACAGGTCGGGGGCTCAAGTGTCCCTCTCCAGGCTCGGGAGTAAACGCTCGTCTCTGCAGAAAAGCGGCCCGCGATTCAAGAGGAAAGCAGCTGCGCAGCTAGTACCGATGGACTTCGGTTGCTGTGCCTCGTCTCTCAGCCGCTGTGCCTCTCACAGATTCGAAATGACGGTACAGTTCAGAGACAAATTCTCAATGTTTGTCCTCCCACCTCCGTGGAGATCCACAAGGCCGTTGCTGCCGCCACGGCGCCTCTTCTTGCCAGGCCGCGGCCGGAGCCCCGGAGGTTAGGACTCCGAAAGCCCAGGGGTGCCTGTGCCGGAGAGCGTGCGCGCCTCGGGGTTGGCGTTCAACCACTGGCCCTCTTTTGGGACAGATGAAATCATCTGTGGAGTGGGCACGGGTTTTACTGCTTCAACATCTGAAGCACAGCGACATGCAACCCTCGTGGTACTGAAAAAGCCGGTGCTTAGCTACGCACGATGCTTTAGCAACGTATCCATACCTGGCCAAGATTGACAAAACCTAACAAGGCATACGATCCACAAGCAACAAGAAGTGTCCACCAAGTAAGTAGCATCTAAGCAGAGTGTGCTTCTGTCAATGTCGTATCTTCAACGTAACACTAGCGGTCCGCAGCTCTTGGACCCCTCGATTATCCGAGTTGCAATCTGGGCGAGAGGGGACTCGTGCGTGCAGCCGCCAGAGCCTGGGCATGATAAGTGGAAGGCGAACCCTGAAAGGGCCCCAGCTCATACTTCGCACAATTGAGTGGGCAGTCGTTCTGGGATGCTGCAAGGTATCTACTCCTCCTGTAAAAAACTGTCATGACTCTATGTCGCTTTTATTCGTAGTACTGGCTCTCATTCAACCTTTCCGCCGACGTCACAGCCTTGCCCACATCTTAACTGCCAGTGCCATCGTAAACCTGATGCAGCTCTTCAGCTCTTGCAGTCGAGCTGCGGGGTATCTAGACACCTTTGGTGCGGCGCTCCTGGGAGGCGGCGAAGCACCTGCAGGACGCGCCGCCGACTACTTCAGACGAAGAGCGTCGTTGCTTCCTTGGCTCAGCACCGGGCCTTGACCCATTTGGCCCCAGATAGGCAGTGCCGGCAATGCCGAGCCAGAAAGAACGGCCTGCATTCGTTGCAGCATGAAGCCCAACCCAACTCCATCGGTCTGCAAACCTTTGCAGCACCAAGTCCGTCTGAAGGGGAGACATCTGGGGCTGAGCTCCGTCTTCTGCGTACACCGTCTGCGCCCATACAACTATCACACAGCCGCTCATGCCCACGATCCACACCTGCTCGAGCTGGGCCAAGTGTTGAAGCGCAGGCAACTCCTCGGTGCCTTGGTTGCGGCGGTTGGATTTTACCTTTGACTGGTTCATACAGCTCGACGGTCCCTACAGCACCCTGCTGGCTCGAGCTAGAGGCTTCATGGGGCCAGGCACCTGCATCTAGTCACTAGCAAAGACGACTTACAGCTGGACCACGGCAGCAGGGGGCTGCTCGTTTCATGCAGCCCAGTCTATGCGTGCGTCGAAATTCGCTGTGCGTTTGAGATTCCTGAACTTCTCGGACCAATCTTAAAGATTGATCGGCCAAACAGCCGTTGCAATCAACAGACTTCGCTGCAGCTTATGGGGCCAGGGGTGCTGTGGAAAAGCCAGTTTCAACCAGAACAAGTCGCCCGCAGAAAAGGCTGAACCAGGTTCCTGCACGCCGAGCAGTCGCCCAGGCCGCTTTGTCGGCGGAGGAGCAGCTGGAGGTTGTGGCCTATGCCTAGCGATCAGCTGTAAGGAACCACTGTGTGATGTTCGAGCTGCAACAAGAGAAGAAGGGCTTGGTATCACAGGAACGGGCGGGTATGTACGCAATCTGTCGATGTTTGGTGCCCTCCTCAGCCTAGTTTTGCAACGATCTGCCTTCGAAGTCTCGAAGTGAAGCGTCCCAGCTCGGGGCCCTGTCAGCTGTCGCAATCCAAATCACGTGGTCTGAGCTGGACGAAGTATTTGCTTGAATTGCCGGGCAAAGAACCCGAAGATGAGGAATGGATGCAGCAGCAGGCACATTGTGCACAGTGCACGCCGAGACGCTTCAGAGACGATGTCGCAGGCAGAGTCTTTGTCTTCCAGGAGATGTTCCTCACCGTAGTTGTAATGGCTTCAACAGGCCGTGGCTAAAGCAGCAATCGGGTCTCCTGCAGTACCTGCTGCGTTATCTGTGCCATTAGCTCATGGCAGTCTGGTGCGTGTGAGGCATTGTCTGGAGCGTCAGCATCGTCGTCCATGCCTTGACAACTGCACGACCAGCTTCTTGCACAGCAAAACGATCTAGTACCAGCACGTGCGCAACGCCTTCGACCAGCTCCAGCTGCTGCGTCTTGCAGCGGCTCTAGGCTCGATGCCGAAAGCAGCTGCAGAGTGAGAAGATGCTTTGTGCAGGAGCCACGGGAGACTGTTCCGCGGCTTGCTCCCCACCCTCCGCACCAGGGCCTTTTTATCAACGAATAGGAGTGCCGCAGTGGCGAAAGCACCAGACTGGTGCAATGATTTCGATGAGATCACTCTCCCAAACGCCTCGCATCCAAAAAGCTTCTCAGATCCCGCGTCCGCGCAGGTCCAAGAAGGCATGGAGCCAGGACGCCTAATGAAGCAACCTCGAAGGCGGCTGTGCCTCTTGATTCTCTGCGTGTCTTACAGGTGCCAGACACAGGCCTCAGAGGTCACATCTTGACGCAGTCACGCACAAGGTAAAATACTAGCTAAAGTCATTGGAAAACGACAGCTGGATTGTGCTGGACAGCTGCTTTGTCAGCTCATGATCCAAGAGTAGGATGCGAAAATGGTGCCAGCCAAGCATGCATGATTAAACTCTTAAACAGTTTCAGTCATCGAAAATCGCACATAGGGCGACGAGCTTTGGTGACCACAGTTGGGGAAAACAAGGGCACTGAATGTGCCGATAGTGGACCTCGGCCAAAAGACCGCGACTGCGACGGGCCAGAAACGGAAGGAGGCCGAGGTCACCGCCACCAAGCTTCACTGCAGAGTCTCTAGCAAACCTTGCCAAGCACTCCCAATGGGCAACACATGGGTTCTAGTACTGTTCCAGTAGATGTCCGAGCCTGCTTGTCGGCTTCCAGAGTAACCATCGCAGTGGCACCCCCGAGCATCTCCTTCATTTTTTTCATTGCAATTACTGCGCCTAGCGCGGTGTGAGGGTGAGCATCTCCTTCACACCCAGCTCCTCGAAGACGGCCTTGCCGGGAACATCAGCACTTGCTGTGCAATGCTCGTCGCACGGGCACCGCTCTCAGCGGCAGCACCTCGTACTGCAAGGCCGCATTGCTCCAGGTGAACTCCGCAGAAGCGGCCATCGCGGCCTTTGTCATCTCCTTGACCTGCGCAGGCTGCAGGCTCTACCTTGCTTCTCTACAGCAGCTAATCCAACTGTAGAAGGCGCAGGGTCTTTTCTCAGGACTACGGTGCTTTAGCTGGGCTCAAGCCTTGGCGGGCTCCTGCATGAAGAGATCTGCTGCTCGCTTCAAGGCTTTCGAGATCGACGCCACGGACTCCTTGCAGCCAAGCAGTCATCGCAGTTGACGACGTGCGAAGGCGTGCGAAGGCATGCAGATTTCAGGACGGTGCCTCGTCCACCACGGCCTCGACGGACATTTCCTTGTCCGTCCAAATGCCGTTGAGGCCATCCTGTTGCAGATATCAAACAGCCAGCTAATCGAGGCATCATCACGCAAGTTTGAGAAGTTGCAGCTCCACGATCAAGCTTTGGAGGCTCGTGAGCAACAGTTTCCGGCAACTCAACCAGCGACAATTCAACGCAAGCGGCTAGGTGAAGAAAGTCAGATGTGCCTCCACGGTGTCCTTCAAGCCGCCGGTTGGGGCGACGATGGGCAGGGTTCCCATGCGCATTGCCTGAGGCAGTCGCCCGGACAAACGACCCACGACTGCAGGCTCGCCGAAACACAGCCACGGACTCAACCAGCCAATTCGATACTCGGAACTCGGAGGTGTGTCCGGCCTCCATCTGTACCAGGCCGCAGGGCTCCCACCTGCAGTTTCTGCATGTTTCTGCGGATTTGGCCAACAGCTCTGTGACTCAACGACATCCGCCAAGGCGATTGGTTTCCTTGCGCACGCACGCCTGGAAGGCAGCAGCGTGAAGTCGCAGCCAGCCAGGAGGGCATAGCGCTCCGGGCCCATCCAACCTCTCCGTCGATAATGATGAGGCGACGTCTCTACATGCAATCGCCATGCTCTAGCCGAGCTTTGCGACTCCCGTGGCTTTCGTAAAGCTGCCGCCTCCGTAGAAGAACTTGCTAGGATACTTCTTCTCCACGGCCTTGGTCCTCAGAAGCGGAACTCGCAGACACAGCCAGCGCCGCCGGTGCGAACGGCCTGGACAGCACGCCCGTTCCTTGGCCTCTGGCTGTGCTACGAGGTCTGCGCGGCCGGAGCCGACGATGACAACCTGGAGCTCGGTGTCCTGCAGGGCGAAGCGAATACATACGGTAGCCCTGCAAAAGAGGGGAATGAACGTGTCACTGCTTCATGAGTTGAGTCAAGCAATAACACTCAGCACCACTTGTTGAAGCTAACGCACACGGCGAACGACTCGAGGATGATCCGACGAGAACCGGCAATTGAGCAGCTAGTCCGTTCCCCAAAAAAGCTGCAGGGGATTCAGCTTGGGCCTATCACTGGGTAGATATAGGGGGGGTCTTGCGCCCCGGGCTCGCCTCGAGGATCTCCACCAAGGACTCCAGGAGCAGGTCGTAGCCCTTCTGGGCATCCAGCCTTGCAGTGGCAGCGATGGACATGTCGACGAGGGGCGAGTATTCGTGATCTAGGATGATCTAGGGATGGGGATCAAGGTTCAAAGCGCGCCTTCCAATGAAGCACATCAACGGTCCCTTGGACTCCGGGAGGTTGTTCTGTGCTCGGTAGGTGGCCTGAGGAGCACGATCACCAGCCTCTCTGGGAGGGCCTTCCTTTGCGCTACTTGCATCTATATTTGCATGCTACGTACTACTAAGTCTTGCCTTGAGCTCAGCCTTTGCCTCCGCTGCCGTGGCAGCCTCGTTCAATCGCAAGGGAAGCGAAGGTTGCAAAAGAGCTGCTCCGTGGTAGCTGTAGGGAGCGCACCGTAAAGACCCCGCACGACATCATGGTCTTCGTGACGAAGTTCTTGTCGCTGGGAGAGACGCCCTCCTTCACGCCGTTGAGAATTCCTGCGCCGTACATCCACTCGTCTCTCTGGCCCTGCCGCTGGGACCTCGGACACTCCGACCTGTGCACTTGCCCAGGGCGAAAAGGTCTTCCAGTTCAACACCCTTCTCCGGGTCGGTGCAGCACTCCACGGCATAGCTTGGGGACACAGTGAGGACCTGCCCGGGCGATGTCGGTCTGGCAAAGCGGCTGACAGAGCCAAAGAAGCCGGGCCGGGCCCTGTCGGCATATCGAAGACCGGCTGCCATGGAGTTGACGCAGCTGACCTTGCGGGGCACCGAACATCCATCCAACCGCTCTGCGACTGCCCGTCCAGGCTGCGACTCGCAGGCCTTCTCGTTGTACTTTCCGATACGAAGGGGCATCTTGAAGGTGATGCTGTCGATGTAGCGCTCCGGCACTCCGAAGATGCCGGCCAAGCCTCAAACATCAGAGATCATTGGAGTCATAGGAGAGGCTTCCCGTGTTTGGGCCTTCTTCGCGCACGAAACGGCCCTGGAACACGGCGTTGTGGTTCAGGAAAGCGGACTTCGTGTTCTGCCACTTGCCTGCACTCGGCTCCCAGGGCACAGGCCAGCCACAGTTGGCCACTACTCCTGGGACATTCACGCCCCGACCTGTGGCTTTCTCAGCATGGATGAGCATCGGAACAAGGGCCGAATGCCAATCGTTGCAGACGACCATGCAGTCGCCACCGTACCTCAGATTTCCATCTCATCGCACGGTACAGGGGCCGTCTGTGTTGCAGAGGCGGGGTATGCACGTCCATTTATCATTATCATCGCCCGAGGGCTTGCAGAACGGGCGTGGCGAAAACGCCCGTCTTTCGCAGCTAGCCCATTCGTGGTGCTCATGGAAGCGCCGCATGGCTCTTTTCAGCTCGAGAAGGCCGAGGGCCGGGCACGGCGCCGCCCAGAGGCAGCTCCTGAATGGCCTTCAATGCCGCCTTGCAGAAATAGGCGAATCGCGCCTGATTGTCTGCGAAGTCCTGGAAGGACCGTGTCAAGTCTGCGAGTGAAACCTGCATAAGTTTAATAACTTGTGTCCTGGCCCCACTCCGGGCCGTACAACTTGGCTCCTGCGCAAGCTGTGGAAGCAGAACAAGACCCGAGGGCTGAGCATCGGCAATAGAGCCGGCACCCTGGCCTGTCTGTCCGTAGACCCTCTCCAGGAAGGTGGGATGATCGACGAAGACATAGTCAACCTCTTCTTTTGCAGATCTTGGGAGACGGGAGTGGCTGTAGGCATGGCACTCAGAGCGGCCTTCTGCTTGTAGCTGTGGAAGAAGTGCACGGACTCGTTCTTACCACCCATCGGCAGGGAGCTCCAGTAACCGGTGTCCCATGCCTCCTTGTACTGGTCGTAGCCTCAGAGCAGTCACATCACTCTGCGAGAGATATCCAGGCGTGTGCTACGTGCTGCGAGGGGCGTGGAGAGATCACCATGCAACGATGGCCCAGGGCTGCCAGCGCAATGGGCAAGCCGTCCATGGCTTCTCCGAGTCCTTACGCACGGGCACGCAGGACTCACATCTGCACCGGAGAGGGTCAACTCTCCCCCGTCCCACTCGTGGAGTCACGATGGCTGTATCTCCAAATTCTTCAGAAACAGTGCAACACAGCTCACATCGTGCCCCTGAAAGCGTCCTCCAGTCTTGGAGAACGGTGCGACTTCGCTTGTGACGAAGACGATCCTGTCCAGCTCCCCATCTGTGCCCATTTTTCAGTCGGAAGCATGCAGGGATCTGCCGCGTTACGTGAAGCAGGATTTTGCCGGAGAGGTGCGTTCACCGACGTGACAGCTATCGCGACGGGTTTCAAGTCGGCTTTCATGCTGTCAAGGGACTGGTACTTCTTTCCAATAGTCGCACGGAGCTTACCGTCTGCCATGGAGAAGGCAGGGCTGCGGCCCTGCCAGCAGCTCTTTCGACGAAATCGCAGGCATGTTCGGGTCCATCCCACGGCGAGAGCACGTCGGTCCTCTGCAAGTGCCCGGCCCACAGCCACAGCAGGAGGTCCCACCTGTGTGTGCTATCGACAAAAACATTCTCATCTTTGGCTCAGAAGGGCGGGCGAGCAGGTACACAAAGCGCTCCGTGAATTGCTGCGAAGCTTGCGACCAACCTTGGGCACGTCGAGAGCCTTGCCATCGGGGCCTGTCACTGTCACATACGAAAATGCAGGGCCATTCGAGGCAATGGCATGAGGCGTGCCAGTCATGCTGTCGGAACGTGCCTGTCGCCGTGGCTGGAAGTACGGCACCAGCTGCCTGCCCCGAGGCATCCCGAGACGACTCAGCTCATGTCTGCTGTCTTGGCCGATCTTGGTCGCGGCCTTGGCATAACCTCTGGCAGGTCCTACGGTGCTGGTGGCATAGGCAGCGCCACTCGTCTCTCCGGCCGGCACGGGCTTGCCACTCACGATGTTCAGCACCTTGGAAAGTTCAGAAGGAGCGAGGCAACTAGCCAGTCCTTGACTGGCCATGCCGCTGAATGCTGATTCTGCTTGCCAGGCAACGCTGCCGGGTGCCACCTGAACTGGCGCCGTGGTAGTGGTTCCGGCGTACTTCGAGCTGGTGGGTGCCGCAGCAGCGGGCTTGGCCTTTGCCTTGCATGTGTCACGACTCCAGATGCGAGGCTGAAGGCGAGGTGTCTCCACTGTCAGTCCCCAAGCCTTGGGGGCCTCGGCTTTCGCACCAACACCTGTTCACGGGACTTGGCAAGAGCGTGCAAAGTCTCCCTGATCACGGATGGTATCACCAGCTTCCGCAAAGCTATTAGACGGGGGAGCAGGAGGACAATTCTCCGTACCCACAAAAACTGGATGATCGTGATCGTCATCCAAGCCTCCACTCGTCTCGCACGAGTGCACATATCGAAGAAGTGTTTTGGCCGTCTTAGGTACTCTGGAATTTCTTCCGAAAGAGTGAGAGAGGGAGAGAAGTAAGGCAAGGATCGACCGTGTAAGAAGAACTTCTTGGGAGGCTGGTTCACAGGTGCAGACTCGTCTAATACCCACACACACACACCCTTTGCAGGGAGCCTCGTGCCAATGAGGAACCTGTGGCCGCCATGCGCTCTGCTGCAGTAGCCGGCTTCTTGCCCTCCTGTCACAGACTTGCTAATCATGCTTGAGGATGCTTGCAGGCAACTCACGATAAACCGATAAACCTAAGCTGGCTCCACTGTTATGAATTGCCTGTCGCTGGGCTTGCCTCTGCTTCATGTTGCATTGATCATTTATCTTGAGTCTGTTCCGTCATCGCTCACCTCCATGACCGCTGCAGCAGAGGTCGGGGCAGCTGCTTTAGGAGCAGCCGTGCTGGAGACTCCCGCGCTGGCGGGGCTGGTGGTGGTGACGCCGGTCCCAGACGCCTCCAGCGACAGAAACCCTTCGCCTCTGAGTCGACGAGACGTCGGGCCCTGCCTTGGGAGCTCCGGCTCCGGCCACAAGCCCCGCCGCACGGGACGCGGGCGCCTCTGAAGGAGCCGAGGCGGCCTTCTGCTTCTCCTTGCAGAACGTGGATGTCTCTGTCTCTGTCTCTGTCCCTGCGTTGGACGCGTACAGTACCCGTCCTCTCGGTTGGGTGCCTCGTCACGGCTCTTGGCTGCTGCAGCGACTTCTGGGGCCTGCAAGAAAACGACAGCTTTGCTGGGCTGCACTAGAGGGGAAGTCGCTTCCACCCGCATGCAGGCCTTTGCCACTGGGACGACGCTGGGGGCCTGAACCGGGGAGAACGCACGGCACTTGCTGAGGAGTCAGATGTTAGCATTGGCTGTCCATCGGCCAAGCCTGAGCCGGAGTTGTTGCCTTTGAAGTCGACATCCTCAGCTGTGGCAGAGCTGCAATAGCTGCAGCATAGTCACCTGCAATTACTCTTTTGCGCATGTGCTTTTCGAGTGCATGCTGAGATTCGTCGTTCTACTGGAAAGGACGGCCGGGTCGAGCTGGGCTGCACTCTGAATGCTTCTGCAAATGCCTGCGGATGTCGATGCCACCTCTGTCATCAACACACCTTTGCTCAAAATCGTCAGCAACTTCATGCCCGGTCTGCTTTGCCCACATGTGCAGCAATTACTATGCTGGAGGATAGTATCAGCTGTCAAGATTCCTCAACGCAGCAAATAAATCCAACTTGACTCTAACTTGGCAAGTTCTGCTTTCACGAATCCGTCTGTACAGCGCACGGATGGCAGCGAAGTTTCTTGTGAATTTGCTTAGCGAATTAAATGCCTGAATTCAGAAAAGCTCCCCAGCTCCTCCAGTTTCAGTATCGGCAAAGCATTCCACAAAGCAGGTGCTTTGCACGCCAGCCAACCCGTCAGGTCTGTCACCTTGGAAAGTACATCGAATGAGTGGCCATGCATCCGATGCGCGGTTCTCGGCGAGAGGCCATCGTCTGGCCGTGGAGGGACTGTCATTGGCCTCTCTGGCAGCGACTTGACGTACCCACCCCAAGCGGAACGACCAAGGCCGAGGCCAGAAGCAATCTCCTCAAGGTGGCATCGTCCGCTGCGGCCGTGGAGCGGTCAAAGGCTGCACAGATTGCTGGACAAGTCAGAAACACCAGAAGACGCATCCACGGTTAGTGACACTACGCCAGACGAATCGCCATGATGCAAAGGCTGTGAGGCGTGCCAAGAGCAGATGCTGCTTGCTGCTGTGCCATGTGCTCCTCTGGCAGAAGTTGCACCTAGCAGCTTTGGGCTACAGCCACTGTCTTAAAATTGGTGCAGCGAGCTGCCCTCAAGCAGAAAGGTGACTCCAGGCTTGGTGCCCCACATAGGCCACCTGCCTCTTCTTCGGACCTTTTGCCCAATTGGCAACGAGACTTCCAAACACGTTCAGAATCAATGCAATCTGAACTTTACTTTACCAGCATCGTTCTCTAAGAGGCTTGCTCCGTGAAGATGCATGACCGAAGAGTTCGCTGGGGCAGTGCGCAAACCTCGGCGAGCTATGCATCATTGCGCCATCCTTCCTTGAGGCGGCTGAAAGTTAGCGATGTTGGCGGTGCGAATGCAAACTGACGCTGCGGCGGGCAGGTCTGGTCAAGTATGCACCTCCCCACCTGCACAGATCACCCTACCTCCAGGACCGAAGAATGACATGTCTCATGTGGTGGCTGGCACAAGGTCGGCCTCGAGAAACTGGGCGCACATCTCCCTCTTCTGACTCACCGGCATCTCGCCTCCACTACGTGCCAACGTGGCCATGCCTCCTACACACATATACTTCGAAACAGACAGAAATCGCAAAACTTCCACCACGCCTGTCTCAGGTTCCTCTGCGGCTTGTGCCAGTAGCCGCGCCAATGCTACATCCTGGGCAAGGCTTGGTGCGACATGAGCAGCACGGCGAACTTTCGAGGCCAGGCAAACGGGCAGTGGTCTTTTCGATTCCATTCGCTTCCACGCCAGCTTTTTCTGCTGAACACAGCAACCCTACAACGTCTAGTCTTGGCGGATGCACAAAGGACACTGTCCCGCCAGCCCGGGCTCCAGGCGCCCGTGGTTGGGCGGGGTAGGGAAGGAGGGCTGGGGGGCTGGGGAAGGGGGGGGGGTTGGGATTTGCTGGCGGGGCTGGGGTTGGGAGGAGAGGCTCTGCTGGCATCACCCGTCAGGATCTGCACACCAATCGCTTCAGCTCCACCACAGCTGTGGCTTCGCCTTTCCAGTATCCCCTCGGCACCACGGGCAGAGGCGAGATCAGTCCTTTGAGCAGGTTCTCCCACAGAGACTCCTTCACACCAAGCAATTGTAGGCATGCCTCTAGCCAGCCGCCAGCCGGCATGCTGTTCGGCAGCTGAAGTGTAGTCGGTTCTGCTGCTGGTGGCAACGTGTCCTGACCTCAGCATGATGCCAAGGAAGTTATCCTTCAGAGCCTAAGCCACATCCAAGAATGTCCCAAGAAGGGTGGCTCCAGGACAAACCTGGACCGATCGAAAAGCTTCACCAGCAGGGCGAAGCTGTCATCGGGTGGTTGGAAAATCCTCTGTGCAGATCTGCTACAAAGACCAAATGGCGTCGATGACGGTCGCCAGGTGCTCCGCCGGGATGGCCGTCGGGGCCGTCGCATCACATTAGGGGCTCCCACGGCATAGTCGCGCGATTTGTCAAGGTCCAATGCCCTGTCCCGGCTTCCAAACATTACAGGCACGTCTCGCAGTCGCATTGCACCCTTTGGGGGTCGGCGGCACTGGCGGCAGCCATTAAATCGGGCAGCGCTCGGTCCCCGATGCCGTGACCTTTCGCCAGCACCGGGGAGCTGGAGCGACTTCGCAAGCTCGACCTCGCACAGATCCACCTGGAAAAGTGATGGTCTCTTTGTCGCGAAGGTCATCGAGGTTTTTCAACCACAAATTTGCGACAGGGTTGACAAGGCTGCAACCGCCCCAGGGCAATTGAGTGGTCGGACGCTTCTTGACTTGCTCGCCCCTGCACGTCGTAGTGAATGCAAGCTCCAACTTTGCTGTGATCGCTTACAACGTGCGACATGGCCTTCTCGACATAGGGCTTATCCACTGGGACGTACCAGCCAGTCGCCAACTTCGACAAAGAATTCGCACCCGCGTCGTTTTCATCTATTTGTCGATAATTGTCGATATATTTCCACGTCCATGTGTTGCAGCCATGCGCTCCAGAATGTGTGGAGCAGCAGGCAGCCCTTGGCAAACCCTAAACTCCTAAACCCTTGCCAAGTGGCTCGCTCCACTCATGCGCCGAGGCGGAGTACCATCGCGTCACTGATCCTCGACCTCTTCTCTGGGACTCAAACCTTGCTTGCGATAATGCGGCAGCTGTTCCAAAACAGCTCTGCGCAAGATCTCGCTGGCACTCGGATGCACGCCACTCGCGGCCGAGCGCGAGAGAGGCGTCGTAGTCTCCAGGGCAGGGCACTCCGTGGTTCCCCAAACCCTGGCCATCGCCCGGAGGATTTCCACAGCTTCCGAGGACTTCGAGGCCGGACAGAGATCCGGAGGAGTCAGCGAGCAGAGGCCGACCAGGGCCATCTCCCGTCTCAGCAGCTCCGCAGCCGAGCTCTTCCCTTGTGGCTTCTCTTGCTGCGCCTTTGGCTCAGTTGCATCCAAAAAGGGAGGGCATCCCCACTTTTTGGCCGCTTCTGCATGCCGACGACCTGCGATGTGCGTCTCCACACTTGCAATATCATGAAAGGGGCCACAGCCGCAAGGTTTGCAGAAATACTCTCGCTGTCCCACACGTCCGGCTGAGGATGAGCAGAAGTCGTGCGTCACGATGCCTTGATTCTGTAAGTGCTGGGGTAGCAAGAGCATCTCCTCCAGAGTTTCCTTGGCTGAGATACTGCTGAGATCTTGTGCCTATCTCCGACGGGCCAAGGCATCCTACAAAAGAATGAATCCCAGACCTACACTCACGATCTCTCACGGCAATGCGACAAGGTTCCGGCGGCCTTGCCTTCCTCTGGTGCTTTTTTCCGATGACGTGACCATGCATCTGCTCAGTAGATAGAATGGGCCCCGCATTGCAAAGCTGGCAGAAGAGCCCATCGTGCCGGAGAACAATGCCTGCATTCAGTGATGGGCAAATCGACACAAGACAGCACTCAAGGGGCCTTGATCGATACTAGTCTGGGGCTGGGGTGGAAATTTTTCGGTCAGCCCCGATTCCTTGACTCTCCCAGCCGGGTTCGATGGCGAAGATGCCCGTATTGCTCACCGCTGCTGCGGGCACACTAATTTCACTGAGCCTTTGCCAAAGGGTGTAGAGCAGGAATGGGAAGTCGACGGCTCCCTTTCTCTGCTCTGCCGTCAGGCTCCTTTGATTCCAATCGCATTTTAGCAGGTCTTCCTGCAGCTGCACGCCTCTGGATTCCAGCCCCAGCTCTTTCGCGATACTTTCCACGTTGTGACACTTCAGCCCTAGGCGCTCGTCAGCCATGGCAAAGATGCTCACGTTGTTCTTCATCTCAAGCCCAAAGGTGCTTTGCAGCTTCCTCTTGTGCTTCATCGAGTAGCCATCACAGATCTTGCAGACCAAGGGATGCATCAGAAGTTGTCTCACCTAGCAGACTGTCGAGGGTGCATGCCGATCAACTCCAAACCGTCGAATGACGATGCCAAGTCGCATGCTCCGGCAGCCAGGTGCCCGTGCGATGAGTGCGCAGAATCCTGAGTTTCATCCATACTTGCTAAACAAACAAGCAGCACACACAACACGAAGCAAGCCAGAAGCTCTAAGTTTAAACGAAGCTTCACCACTCTCTTCTCGTCAGCAAACTGTAACAAAGACACCCGATTGTCATCCTCGTCGTTGCGGTCCACCGTCCACAACCTTCCATGTCTACATGAGCAGCATAAGAGCAAGAATAGCACTAAAGATTCGGATTCCTAGCATCCCGGAACATCGTGCCAACTCACTGCCAACTTTGCCGTGGCTCATATTGAAGGCAATAGGATGGTGCTGCGCCATCTTGGATTCAAGCCAGGTGCGAGAGAAGAAATCCAGGCCATGCTCCTTAGCGAGGTCGGTCGGCACTTTCGAGAGATCCACGAAATCCACCTGGACAGGCATTGAACTGGACCTGACATGTCCTGCCTTGGAACACTTCGGACTTCGGAACTTGCAGCAGCGCCTTGCCAGTGAAGTGCTCTCGCTGTACAGGTATCGTGGTTCGCTCGCGGCCCCGATTCAGCTTGCGATGCATGGGCTTGGCGGACTTCGTGGTCGACAGCAACTCTGCACGAAGCTCAATTCCTGCTGGTACTCTGCAGCGAAATCAGCGTTATGTCGTTGTCGGGCCCTACTGCTTAAACTTGATGCAATGCTGTTCTTCATTCACCAGTGTTGCACGGCAGAGGATGCTCAACAGCATCTAGCGCCGCTCTCTTGCAACAGAAGCCGTCAAACAGCTGCGCAAGTCACACTCGGCGCGGGCAACTACTGTATAGTTTCATAGAGCATAGAGCTCTGTCCCTGCGGGGATGGTTGGTTCTGACTTACAAGTCAAGTGGGCCCTTTGTGGATGTAGAGGGGCCGGTTGGCTCTCAGCCGAGACCACTTCGAGGCGGGGCGGGGCCCCGGCATCTTCCAAGGCTCTGAGGCCTGGGAAACGCGAAGGTGATGTCGTGATTGGTGCCGACGTGGCCGTCGCGATCCCTGCCAAGCCCGCAAGCAGATGCATTCTTTACTTACTTCCTTCAATTCGTCATTGCACCTAGGATCGTCCGCTTGCCAGCCAGGGTTGCGAGTAGGCCTTTCCCCTTTTTTTGCAGCTTTGCGGACTCTCGAAGGCTTGTAGGGTCCACCAACCCTGCCACCGTTCAGGACAACCACAGGATTTGACAGCCCCGATTCCCTTTTACATGTCGCCCCCGCTACGGTCGTTGCCTGCCAGCTGTCTTGAGTGCCCAACACTGTTGAGTAATCCCGGCGGATCCATGTTGCACCCAGAGCCTGCTTCCAGGACCTAAGGGGTTTTCCGGCAAAGATCTTTGGTCTGTTGTGCCCTGTTTCAGAATTTCGTTGCAATTTGTTGCGCGAGTGCGCGAATATTCCGTCCGATGCAGAGCCTAGCGTTGATAATTCCGTTCAGCGAGGGCACAAGATTCAGCTGGCCTGCACGGGGTGGGGGTGGCGGCGGCAGCGTCTGCGGCTCGGACTTCTGCCTGGCCACCGCAGCAAACACACCCACATCCACATCGCTGCCAATGCTTCGGCCATCTTCGGCCTTGCGGCCGGCACTTAGGCTTGACTTTTCTATGCAACAGTTCAAGCAGGACGGCTCCACTTCAGCTGCACCTCGATGCCATGACACAGATTCAAGTTCCCGAACTAGTGCAGCGCTGCTCCATGGAGGCCCGATCTACACAGAACGTGGAGACTGTTGAACCAGTGCCATGATCAACTTCCACTATTTCTGCTTTGCCTGACTCTCTTATAGCCACGGCCGCAAGTCTGCAGTGCCCCTGATTTGATCCCTATCAGCGAATGTGATCGCCAGCATTCGCCAGCCTCTTCATCCAGAAGGGTGCAGACATTGAGGATCTGTTGGGCCTGCGGTTCAGAGCGGAACAGAAACCCGACACGCGGCTGAGACAGCAGATCAGATGGCTAGCAAGGCGATCGATGCAGCTGTCAAGACATACTAGAAACACGGCAAGGGAGGCTGCCCCAGAATCAAACTCTGTCCATGCTGAGCATTTGAATTTCTCGTAGCTCGCCTCCTCCTGCACCGCCATTCGCTTTTTCTGAACTTCCTGACAGACTTTGGCGGGTCATGGAGCAGGACGACTGACCGAGAGACCACCTCCTTCTCGGTATCTCTGAGAGGCCTCCATGCCTGAGTGCTTGGGCAACACGACGAAATTGAGCAAACCCCAGCATGCCGGTTTTGCTGAAAGGACCATGCACAGAGCAGTAAGCCACATGCGCGTCTTGCTCTCAAGCTGCCTTGGCACCAGACTGTCTGTCAGGAGCGTGCATCTTGGATGCACTGCCCGCCGAGTCCCTATAGTTAGTAGCACTCAGCGTCAGGGCGCCGACTTTTGCTCACCAGCTCGTCATCATCTGCCAGGGCCTTGTTGTCACTTGTGCGCTGCGGCCAAGCTAAAAGGAAGTACGAGTATGGTAATCCACGTGTGCTTGAGCCTCCTCAAAGCTCTTCTGCGCGAGCTCCCTGGCCTGGCATGGTGTCTGTTGGTTGATACAAAAACCGCGGCAAAACTCTCGCCACTATCGCCTCCTTCACGCGCAGCTCTGCTTTGCTGTCGTTCTCCTGAACGCCACGGGGATTGGGAAGCCCTGGACAAAGCGAGACTGCCGAGAGCCTCGAGCATGGCTCGTGCTTCGCAACAAAGCCCAAAAGCTTGCTTCAAGCTGAAGACCTCCAGGCAGAGGGGGAGCGAAAGCGAGTTTGGAGTTTCAAAACTGTCTTCTCCGATCTTCTCCGTGCTACAACCCCCGCGGACTCTTTTCCACAGGGGCCTGTGGGGCCCGGTCGGGCCAGACTCAAACTCCGTTCTCAAATTCAATCCGGAACTCTCTCTGAACTAAAGTGCACAAAGCAATCACTCCACAAGGGGATTCCAACGGTATTCGCTGCACGGAGCGCGCTGCTCCTCAATCCTCGTATGGGCCTTGCATGGCAGCTGTGTTCATTAATGCCTTTGCGGCCTCCTCCGGTGCCACGCGCTGCAGGCGGATGATGCTGTCGATCACCAGTTGGACATCATTG